CAATGTTGGCATACTTGCTGAAAACCAAAGGAATTCAACAAGAACCAACATCGAAGTGGAAGTGTATCCTCAAAAGTTCTACTCTCTAGGGTATGCCTCACTTCCCTCAAAAGGAGAGATGGAACTTACCTAAGAGGACTTTTCATCATAGGATAGAGTAGAAGCAAACAATGCATTCTATGTTTGATGGAAGAAATGAACTAATTCTACAAAAGCTCTCCCTAAAAGCCTAATTCTACCAATTCCTAAAACAAACTTAAAAGAGAAAGAAAGCTCCACTCCAAGCCCCACTCTTCAAGCCAAAGCATCTTCATCATATCCAGAAGCTCCTCTAAAAAGGAATCCAAAGTCTTCAAGCTCCAAGTCCACCAAACGCTCCAAACAAGACAAAGCACTCAAGAGAGGACACCGAAAGCAACAATCATTTGCAAAACCCAAAAAAAATAGCAAATTAAATTGTAAAATTCTAATAAAATTCCTATGTGAACATACATGTTTTAACATTCTAAAATTCCAGAATCAGGACCTAAATCAATTTCTAGGTCATCTAAACAATTCCTAAATGAAATTTGGTCATGGGAAACCATTATTTGGGAAGGCTCTAAACTACACACCTAAAACAGAATCTACTCAATTTTAAAAATTCTAAGAAAATTCCAGGGGAAACCTATGGATGTCCTCTAAATCATATCGAAAGAATTAGCTCAAAAGCATAAAGCATCAAAGAGAACAAAATTAAACAAACAACAATATCAATTATGCATAATAATGGATATAAGCACAAAAGAAAATTCGTAACTAATTCAAATAAAATCCTAAAAATGCAAATTCAACTGCTACAGTTTCTTAAGTCAATCAAGATCTACAGAAAAATAATTCATAATTTTTCGATCATTTTTACTATTTTTAACGCAATTAATCTAAACAGCTATTAAAACAGAAAAAAAGAACGAAAATGAATTAAACTAAGTTAATGTGCATTGGGCCAGGGGTGCGAACAACAGAATTCCAAAGCAATGTCCGTGTGGGCCTCGCGAGTGGGGGTGGGAACAGTACCTACGCGGTACTGTAGCTGTTCCGGCGGTGACATTTTTTCGGTAACTTCCGAGCAACATAACTTCATCGGTTCTTAACCGTTTCGCACGAAATTTTAGTCAAACTTGAAGGAAAAAAAATCAAGGATTCCAAATATTCTCTTAGATTCCATCAAAACTCCATGATCAAAGAGATATATCATCATCAAGAAAACATACTCATCCAAAAAAGTCTCTAATCCTTAATTTCTTGATCCTAATTTCATCTATACATTTTCCAGATCCTAACCACATGAATAATCTAATCTAATTCGTCCTAAAATCATAGAAAAAATGAATTTCACATACCGGCTTCGGAGCATTGAAACGGAGTAGTTGGAGCTCGTTTTTTCTTGCCAAAAAAGTGCGGAAAACCTTTGTTGAAGTTTGTTGGAGAAGATTAAATTCTTGATAACTCTTGAAAATGCTTTGAATCCAACTTTGATCTCTCACTTTTTCTCTTCCAAACTCCAATGTCAATCTATGGTTTTTGCACAAATGAATCACCCACTCTTGCTTTGAACCTCTTCACAAGTATATATAGAATGTATTTGAAGACCCTAGAAAGTTCTAGATTGATCTAAGGAGAAAATCAACTTCTCATGTCATGAAAATCTCTTCTTATGCTATGCACATACCATCTCATGTTTTGGCTTGCAATTCACTTGGTTATGAGTTTAAATTCTCTCCAAATGAGATATTGGAGGTGTATGGATGTAAAGGAGCCTTGCATTTGCTTGGAAGTGTGGTTTTGCATATGTGCCTTATGATGCAAGTAGCCCATTTACAAAGCAAGTCTTTGAAATAACCCTCAATTCAAAATTGTGGCAATGCCATTGTCTTTAAAATGCATTTTACAATCAAATTGGTATGTCATATGGCTTGTTTGTGACCTCTAACCCAAAATTTGATTTTTTCCACCAAACTTTATTTGACTTATTCCCTTTTTTTAGGCCATTTTAAGTGACTTTTTTGAAATAAGCCGATCAATCCACCATGATGACTTATTTAGCCTAAAAACATCATTTTAAGCACATTCCATGTTGAACAATTTTTCATTTGAGAAGTGGAACATGGAGATTTTGACCTATGCTCAAAAATGACCTGTAATTCAACTTTCCCAAAATACCCCTGGATTGCCAAGACCATAACTTGAATTCTACAAATCCTCTTGAGGACTTCTAGTACTCAAATTAAAGCTAAGATAAAGATCTACAACTCTTATGTTGGCCAAGAATCCATTTGAAAACTCCTTGATGGGCAAAAGTTGCTTGAAAGTCAAGTGACTTTCACAGATAAATTTCAGTATCCTCTGGGGACCCATAACTTGCAAGAACCATAACTTGAGTTCTATAAATCTCCTTGAAGACTTCTAGTACTCAAATTAAAGCTATTGAGAATCTATACAAGTTTCATATTGACCAAGAATTCATTTGAAGCTTGCATTTTGACTTATCTGGCTTGGAAGTTAGGCCTAAATTAGGGGATTTTACATTGAAACCCTAATTTAGCACCTCCTCTTCTTCTTGATTCCTTTTGATTTCTCCTTGGCACAAACCTCACATGTATACACATATTAATTCATGAATCCCACATTCTTCAATTAAGCATTGATGCTCTTCAATCACTCAGTTGACCTAGGGTTGACCTAGGGTTGACCCAGATGAAATCCTAGTTGACTGCATTCAACTGTAACTCTGGTACTTGTATTAATGATTTGTCTCATCTTCAAAATGACCCTCTAGGTCTTCCATGATCTTTGTACACCTTCCATGGCTCACACACTCATTGATGATCTTCAACATATCCCCAAGATTGGGAGAGAAATCCACTGGTTGACCTTCAAACTTCTCAAAGCTTCAACTCATTTCTTGATTACTTGGATGGTCTTGAACTTGAATAAAACCCCACGATGGGCCTTTTTCTGATAAGAAAGACACTTGATCCCCTGTTAGATGACTTGTTATGCTATGCTATGCAAATGATTAGACTATGTACATGACTTATTATGCAAATGACAATGCAATTGAAACATAACCCAGGTGAAATAGGTTGAGCAAATTTTAGGGTGCAACACAACCCGATATTAACTATGAAGAAACATTTTCCCCGTGACACGTCTTGACACCATTAAAACGTTAATTTCTCTTACAGTATAAAAATAATGGAAGTTGTATCAACCAAATGTAAAGTCTGACATTACCTAGATTATTAGAGTTCAAGAATAATACAATAAGGAAAAAAATATTGAGTAATGTACTATCAATAAATGCTTATATTAGATACATATACTTAGAGTATTGTAAAAACATGTATATCAATAATTAATGAGTTATAGAGAAATGTATTAATGAGTAATAAAATATCTAAAATATAGAGTTAGATAATCAATTGAATCCTATAAATAGAGAAATGTTATCATTTACTATCTCTGTCCCAAATTATAAGTCAGTTTGTAAAAAATATTTGTCCCAAATTATAAATCACTTTAGAATTTCAATACAACATTAATGATTTTTTTTCTTCTAATATACCATTTACTATTTATTTCTCTTTCTTCTTCCTATTCTTTTAATCCGCTTTTTAATATAATTAATAAATGACAATTTTGTAAAATCATAGATCATTTTATTTTTCTATAAAATAATAATTGCATTTTTTAATTCGTGTGAAATATCTAAAACGTCTTATAATTTGAGACGTAGGGAGTATAAACTAAATAAGGTTAAACAAAATCAAGAAAACGAAGAAATTAAAAAAAATAACATGTTCAATCACCATTAATTAAACTTCCTTCATCTTGAAGTATATAGCAGCTCATTCACATAGGTCACTTACTAGATTTGCTTTGGAGAAGAAGATTGCCACTGGGGGTGGACAATCGGTCGGTTTCAGCTTCAAGACTACCATAGTTTCATTTTTATGCTCCAATTTCGACCGATAAAATTTTAATTTTTATCAGATTCGGTTAAGTCGCTTTGACAGTTAAGTCAGATCGGTTCAGTCGATTTAATATTTATTAGAATAAATCTATAAATATGATTTTTTATTTATTTAGTTGTTTATAAAAAAATATTAAATTTTTAGAATAGAACTATTTTATTACTATTAAAAGAAAAATAATTATTACAGGATAATATTTTCAATATTATTTAACATTAATTTGGATCATTATTATACTTTAAACCACAAACTAAATAATACTCAAAATTTTTATATTTTATATTTTTGAGAGTACAATGCAATCATCATATTATAAAAATAATAATATCCTGCAATATTATGAATTTCATTTTTATACTGAATCATTAATACAATAATAAAAATAAATAAATATATATTAATTAAATTCGATGAATTTTAATTTTTGTCAAATTTAAAATAAACATTCGAGTCCGACCGAAACAATCTTATATAATTCAAATTAAACCGAATTAACCCGATTCTAATCCATTGTATTTAAAAAAAAAAGAAGTAATCGATTTTAATTAGTGGATTCAAATTTGTCCACCTCAAATGCCACCCTTATAGAAACGTGTAAAAGTCATCTACTTTTATTTAGATCATTTACATCACTTAACGCAATACAATTGTTTTGTTACGGATCATAGTTGACTCCAAGATAGAAAGTTAAAACTCATCAATTTCGGTTCAGTAACTTCACACAAGTGAAAACTCCTTCTATTTTTGAAATATAATAAAACAACACACTAGAAATAATTTACATGGTAGTGTAAAATGTATATAATAAAGTAATATATATTTTCCAATTCATTGACTAATGTCACTCAATGAAAGGTTGAAATAGCAACACTCATGGGCCCATAAACTAGATAGAAGTTTCTATAAATACAGTCTAGTTTCATCATAGAGAGGGTATTCTTAGTAATCCTAACACTTGTCTTCTTTTCTGGTCCAAGTGAAAAAATGGAAGAAGGCAAAGGAGTGAAGGAGGAGGAGTACACAGAAGATGGAACTGTGAATCTTAAAGGAAAACCAGTTCTTAGATCCAAAACTGGTGGTTGGAAAGCATGTTCCTTTGTTGTTGGTAATAAAATCTCCATCTTTGCTTAACGTTTGACATTGTTATTTACTATTAACGTTAGCAATGGTTGTTGATAATGAATTGATTGCAGTGTATGAAATATTCGAAAGAATGGCGTATTATGGAATATCATCGAACTTGATTCTGTATCTAACAAAGAAGCTTAACCAAGGAACTGTGACTGCTTCAAACAATGTGACCAACTGGGTTGGGACTATTTGGATAACACCAATACTAGGTGCTTACGTTGCTGATGCTCACCTTGGTCGTTTTTGGACTTTTCTCATTGCTTCCACCATTTATTTATCGGTAAGCAAGGTTCATAATTTAATTTTAATTTTAATCTTAGCAAACCAGCCATGTTTGTTTGTCTCTTCTCCAATTGCATGGTGTGGGAGTTTTTAATAAATATTAAATAGACCCCACGGGTCCCATGCTTTGTCCCAATTGCCACATGATGATAGATGTGGGTCAAGATTCAACTAAGATCTACCCCTAGTTCTTGATATAATTGTAGATTATGGTTGCGTAGATATTTATGTTTTAAAAAATGGTTGCATAGATATAAATTATTATCTCAATATATATGATTTGAAACCAACTAGATGGGTGAAATAACTCAACTAATAAATAGGGTGAAGTGATTTAAAAACCGGACCGGTCGGTTGGACTGGAAACCGGCTTAATAACCGGTCTGATTTACTAGTTCGATCGTCTATGTCATCAAACTGTAAAAATCAGAAAAAATTGGGTTGGGACGGAAAAAACCAGATTTAAAATTGGACCGATTCTAATACATTTTTTATTTTTTAATTAAAATTTAAATGCAAAAATTATAAAAATTAAAAAAAGTTGTTTAAAATTAAATTATGTTGCAATTATTTATAATTTTGTATTATTTTGTTATGTGTGATACATTTGTTTAAAATTTGAATTTAAATTATAAACTTTGTGAATTTACGATATGATATTTTAAAAAAATTTAAGTACTAGTTATATTTTTTTAGAAACTGAATCACCCGGTTCGACCGCTTTTATATCTATATAATGACATGTCTATTCAACTGAGTTATCCGGTTTAATCCGGTTTAGTCATGCGTGATCCAATATTCTTACCGGTTCGATGACACAATCTCCAACGTGGATCCCACATTTTCGTTAGCATTAAAGTAACCAAAATGGTTGAAATATAATGATTTAGAGAATTATTTATTTAAGTGTTTGTTACAAAATATTAATATTAAAAAATTGTTATGTAAAAGTGTTGAAGAATCAAAACAAGATGAAGATGAAACAGCAACCAACTAGCAAAGATTCTAACCTTTTTGACACAATTGTGCTATAAGTCAACAGCAGCTATCGCTGAACCAATAATACATTTTTTTATACAGTAAAATAATAATGATAGGACCAAATATGCAATACATTAATTCACGCATTTGGTTGGTCACACAAAAGAATCTAGAATCGCAAAATAGTCCTCCAAAACTTATCCTTGACTTTTTAGGATCATATTGGTCCCACAAAATTTGTCATATGTCTTAATTAAATAAACAGTTTAATTCGTAGAGAACATATTAATATGAATATTTTTCAAATTTTGGAAAATTTGGACCCATGACAGTGTTGTATAGAGAAAAAGACATTAAGGTAGTAGGAAAGTGTCCTATTCACAGTGAGTTTGATTCAAAGCATGCAGTATTCTTTTCATATTAATCAAGAATATTCTATAGTGGACTGGACCCATGGTTCTTGACATGTGCGGTTGTGGGGCTAGTGGGTTGGGTTGCGGCACTATAAAGACATGTCACAAGTTACACACATGAATCTATAATAGTCAACTTTTGAAACAACAAATTGATGGTTATTATAGTTATTACACATTAATTAGAGTCTTATATTCAACAAGTTCATAATTTAATTGTTTGATTGATCTTATGTTGGAGCATGCAGGGTATGTCTCTGCTAACACTAGCAGTGTCACTTTCCAGTTTAAAGCCACCTCCTTGCACTGAAATAGATCTAACAAAATGCAAAAGAGCTTCAACATTACAACTAGCTGTGTTTTATGGTGCACTCTATACTCTAGCCATAGGAACAGGTGGAACAAAACCGAATATTTCCACCATTGGTGCTGACCAGTTTGATGATTTTCATCCTAAGGAAAAATCGCACAAGCTCTCGTTTTTCAATTGGTGGATGTTTAGTATCTTCTTTGGGACGCTTTTTGCTAACACTGTTTTGGTTTATGTCCAAGATAATGTTGGGTGGACTCTTGGATATGCTTTACCGACTTTAGGACTTGCGATATCGATTATGATATTCTTGGCAGGAACGCCGTTTTATCGACATAAATTGCCTGCGGGGAGTACTTTCACTAGAATGGCTAGAGTCATTGTTGCTGCTTTACGAAAACGGAAAGTGCCGATTCCGAATGATACTAAAGAACTATATGAACTTGATATGGTAGAGTATGCTAAGAAAGGGAGTAACACTTACAGAATTGATTCCACTCCAACATTGAGGTATATACGTATACTCAAATATCTTTAACTCCGGCACTTCATATTGAAGGTGTGTCTGGTGTCTGACGCGACATTGACACATCATATTGAAGGCGTGTCTGGTGTCTGAGGCGACATTGATACTTATATTTCCATTCAGTTAATTTGTTATTTCAAATTATAAAGCATGTGTTAATATATTTTATAGGTTCCTAGACAAGGCATGTGTGAAAACAGGCTCAACTAGTCCATGGATGTTATGCACAGTTACACATGTAGAAGAGACAAAACAAATGCTAAGGATGATTCCAATCTTGGTTGCTACATTTGTTCCAAGTACAATGGTTGCACAAATAAATACTCTTTTTGTAAAACAAGGAACAACACTTGACAGACAGATTGGAAGCTTCAAAATTCCACCAGCAAGTTTAGGTGCATTTGTCACATTGTCTTTGCTTGTCTGCGTAGTGCTCTACGACCGTTTCTTCGTTAAGATCATGCAGAGAATCACCAGGAATCCAAGAGGGATTACCCTTCTTCAAAGAATGGGAATCGGTCTTGTTATCCACACGATTATCATGGTTATTGCATCTTTTACAGAAAGATATAGACTTAGTGTTGCAAAAGAACATGGTTTGGTTGAAAGTGGAGGACAGGTTCCTCTAAGTATTTTCATTCTGCTTCCTCAGTTTATACTTATGGGAACAGCGGATGCGTTTTTAGAAGTTGCGAAAATCGAGTTTTTCTATGATCAAGCACCGGAAAGCATGAAGAGTGTTGGAACTTCATACTCATCAACTACAATAGGCATTGGAAATTTCATAAGTTCATTCCTTCTGTCGACAGTTTCACACATAACTAAGCAACATGGTCATAGAGGGTGGATTTTGAACAATCTGAATGAGTCTCATCTTGATTACTATTACGCGTTTTTCGCTTTGTTGAACTTGTTGAACTTAGTCTTCTTCGCGATTGTTACAAGGTTTTATGTGTATAGGGTTGAAGTTTCGGATTCCATTCAAGTGCTTGCAGAAGAACTGAAGGAAAAAAGAATGGCTAACCAAGTGGACCTTATAGAATAAGTGATTGAATAGTGCTTATGATCCAAAAGTTTCATAATTGTTGTGTAATATATACAACTTTGGTAATTATGAGTATTGGTTATGCATTTGTGAGGTTTTAGCAACACTCAAAATGGTTTACTTGAGAATTGAGATGCAAGTAAGCCAGTCGCCAAAATTAGTTAAACTTAATTAACCTCAAACTTACCAACTAACTTGTAACTAAACTAATTTGAATTACAACTAACAAACACATAAACCCATTTAACCATAAATTAACGTTTCAAACAAAAAATGAGTATTTGAAATTGAGAAATTTTGAATAATTTTCTTTATATTCCATAAACCGATTTGACAAGTCCAACTGTTTCAAAGTCTAAAATAAAGATTTGCTCTATTCACTTTAGTCTTTAATCAAACCGACTCACCTCAAATCAGTTTTCAAATAAATTATCTTCCCAATCAGTAATCAAAATCTCATTTATTATTTAAAAGATGAACCTTACTCTATCCTTATACATTGATTTAAAAAGTTGCACATAACGTTTAGGATTGTAACCTTAAAACAAACGATTATAGTAACATTTTTTAGAACGTACAATAATTAAAGTTCTGCATCTCACGTGGAAATCTCATGTTTCCAATTAGTAACAAGACAATGAAAGCCATGTGCATGATAATTATCACATTTTCATAACCAATTAACCCTTCATATCCCCTTTGCCAAAGAAAAAGGTAAACAATGCTTCTCATATATGCATATAGTAAATGAATTTAAATAATTAATAATAATAATAATAATCACAATAATGAATCAGTAAGATGGATTACATTTACATAACACTAATAATTTCTTCATGCTACTAACATTTCCATCTCCTCCTAACAAGTAATGATTTTTATGTCAGAAATGCAAGATATTATCACTTATCTATGAATCAATGTGGATTATATATATTCATACTTCTCTTCTCTAATCACACAAAATAATTAAGGAAATGTGAATACATAAATATACCTTAAAAGAAGATGAAATAATATATAGTATATGAAACTATGAATCATCATGGATCATGTCCAAGCCTCAGCTCCAAATCAACTTCTTTTTCTTCTTGATTTCCTCTCCTAATTATTTGACGAGTTGGACCAATTTGAAGACTCAAATTTGGACCCTGAAGCTCTTGATTGAAATGCAAATTAGGCCAATTAGATGAGGAAGATCTTGGATATTGATCATATCCAAAACCATGCACATTTGAAGGTTGGTAATTTTCAACAAGATAATTTGTTGTTGTTGGTAAATATTGTTGCATTTGCCTCATAGGTGAAGAATTTGTAGAAACAAAAGGAAAAGCCACAGAAGTAGTTTCATCATTGGTGAAGAATTTGTTTGAAATTTGTGGTTTTTTGTTACTTTTTGCTCTGTCTTTCCTATGAATATTCATGTGACCACCTAAAGCTTGAGCATTTGTGAAACCTCTTTTGCAATATGTGCATTCATAAGAACGTTTTTTTCCTTGATCATGATCATCATCACCTTCTTCACTTGAATTCATTTCAGCAAAAGCAAAAAAAACAAAAAATTAGTAGAATACAACTTTATGAGATGAAAATGTATAAAAAAATATGTGAAGGTGAAAGGGCTTTTATATTGAAGAAAATAAATAATTGGTTAAGTCTATGGCAATATTAATTAAATGAGAGTTTAGTTTTGGCATTTTATTAATGGGATTTTTCTAATTAGCCGGCTGTAAACATATGTTAATTAAGGTATTTTTTATTATTTAGTTCCATTAATTTGATTTGGTTACACTTTCTGTTTATGTTGTTGTTATATGGTACTTGTTTAATTTATTTTAGTATTATTTGTTTTTTTGCCGCTTCAATGTAAGTGATTGTGTAATAAATGTAATTAAGGATATGGAACATTTTAAGTGTTTTCACACTTCTTTTTCTTTTGTCTAGGCTGTCAAATAGTTTGCTATATATGATATGATTATGATTATGGTTATTTAATGGCATGCAAACAGAATGCACATGACATGAGACGCGTTCATATGTTGATATTTAACTTTTTATCAAATCATATCCACAAATAACCTACACTCCCACGTAAAAATAACAATAATAATACATGTCTTCGTTTATTTTTCCACTAGTTTAGTTCCGTGGCATTATATATATATATATATATATATATATATATATATATATATATATATATATATATATATATATATATATATATATATATATATATATATATATATATATATATATATATATATATATATATATATATATATATATATATATATATATATATATATATATATATAATGAATTGATGTTGTCAATAAAAGAATAACGTTATGAGAAAAAGATTGAATTTTTTAAACAAACACAAGAAATCCTATTAGGTTTCACAAAGGCAAAGAGAAGAAGGAAGAAGAATAGAGAATTGATAATATCTGTTTTACTATTCACTTTTTCAATAAAAGTTCAAAAATTACAAGTGAATACCAACAATCAATCTCACCCAACAACCTAAGAGAACTAATCTATCTATAGACTATTAAGCTAACTTAGATTACAAGCTAACTTAATAATTGGGCTTACAAGTAAGACCCAATTCGACATGCTAACAATCCTACCATTTCGACTACTGCATGCTTGAGTATACTTCGACTACAACATACAAGATCAGTATGTGAACAGACTTCAACTTCATACTAAACCTTCAGTCGAACCATGAAGATACCCTTGTCGACACTAGAGTTCGATCCAAAATACCACAAATCCCCACCTTGGAGCAAACTATACACAAAACAAGGGAACAAACTAGATTTCATCATGCAGCTTTATCAACTGCATACAGTGGAAAAACTTGGTACTCAGTAATGTCTTGGTGATCATATCAGCAACATTGTCATCAGTCAAAACCTTAAGCACTTAGACTTCTCCACGTTCGATTATATCTCTGACAAAGTCCATCCTCACATCGATATGCTTGGTTTGCTCATGATAGACTGAGTTCTTCAACATGTGTATTGCACTTTGACTATCATATTTAATAGTGATAACTCGACCTTGAAGTTTCAGCTCCTTAGCAAAACCTTTAAGCCACAATGCTTCTTTCACAGCTTCAGTGAGGGCAATATATTTTTCTTCAGTGGTTGATAAGTTAATAACCTTCTGAAGTGTCGCTTTCCAACTGATTGTTATGTCGAACATAGTGAACACATATTCAGAAATAGATTTTATGGAATCCATACAACCTGTATAATCAGAGTTAACAAATCCTTAAATTTCAGCCATTTGGTCTTGTTTAGACTCCTTATAACTTCCTTATAATCTCTAGGTTCTTTATCAAGAACATCACTTGAAGAAATTAAGGCATAAGCTATGAAATCTACATAACCAAGTCTCTGAGGTGGCTTGATGACTCTTTTCAAACTGTCTCTTACCAACATGTAGTCATTATCAGTCTCCTCATCTTCGATAGCAGCTTTTGCTTCTTCTTTGACTTCATCTAGGTCATGCAATTCAGTATCACTATGCTCCATCTCAATAGGAATCTCTCCATGTTCCATCTCTTCTTCAAAAATCTTTGAACTTTGTCCAATGTCATCGGTTTTCTTAAAAGCCATCTCAGCTTCATTAAAAACTACATCTCGACTTGTGATATACCTCCTGTGACCTGGCTCTAGGCACCACAGCCTATAAGCTTTGACTTCTTCAGAGTATCCAAGGAACATACATTTCAGAGCTCTAGGTTCGACTTTGTCTTGCCTAATGTGAGCTTAGGCTAAGCAACCAAATACTCTAAGTCTGTCGAGACTAGGTGGATCTTTCAACCAGACTTCTTCAGGTGTCTTCATTCTCAAGGCAGTTGAGGGACACATATTTATTAGGTAAGCTGCAGTCGCAACAACTTCTACCCAAAACACCTTCTTCAATCCTGCACTTACCAACATGCACCTCAACCTTTCTCGAATGGTTCGATTAAACCTTTAAGCCAAACCATTTTGTTGGGGAGTCCTTGCAGTAGTTATGTGCTTTGCAATACCAGACGTGTCACAATAGTTGTCAAACACTTCATTGCAAAATTCAAGACCATTATCGGTTCTCAACCTCTTAACCTTTATGCTAGTTTGGTTCCAACTAGAGTCTTCCAACTTTTGAAATTTTCAAAAGTTTCATCCTTAGTCTTCTGGATGAATACCCATAAATTTCTAGAGTAATCATCAACTATGGATAGAAAATACTTTGCACCTGAGTGTGAAGGATTCTTTGCAGGCCTCCAAAGATCACCATGAATGTAATCAAGGGATCCATGTGTTCTTTGTTTACCTTTGTTAAACTTCATTCTACAGGATTTACCAAATACACAAGGTTCACAAAACTCTGGCTTTTCGACCTTGTCACCACCTAATAGATTTTGTTTCGATGATTCGACCATGCCTCTTTCATTGACATGGCCAAGTCTCTTATGCCATAGCTCAGTCTTCGACACAGGTTTCGTGGATGCTACATCTGCTGAACCACTTACAACCTCAGCCTCAAAGGTATACAAGCTTTGTTTCTTCACACCTCTCAAGAATTCCTTCGACCTCTTCATTACCCTTAGGATGTTTTGCTCTCCTTTGAAAACATATCCTTTCTTGTCGAATTCACCAAGAGAAATCAAATTCCTCTTAAGATCGGGTACATACCTAACATTATTCAATAGCCTTATTGACTCATCATGGAGCTTGAATCTCACATATCCAATACCTACAATTTTGCAAGCTCTGTTGTTTCCCAACAACAGTGATCCACCATCTTGATCACACAATTCCTCAAACACGTCTTTGTTTGGAGTCATGTGTCAAGTACACCTTGAATCCATAATCCACTCCTTGCTAGAGTCGCTGCTTGAAACCACTGGGGCATCAGATGATTCATAACCATCTTGCACAATGGCAGCATTACCATTATCCTTTCCACCATGATTGTTCAGCCGATCAGGGCATACTTTTCTTGTATGACCCTCCTTTTTACAATCATAACACTTAATAGTAGGAGCATTACAACCATAAGAATTTTATAGAACTTTACCCTTTTTCTTCTCAAACCTATCATCTTTCTTCAAGAATTTTCCCTTAACGGACAAACCTTCACCAACAGAAGATGGCTTGTGCTCCTTTCGTTCGCTCAAATCCTTAGACTACAAGGCAGATTAAACATCTTCAAAGGCCAATGAATTTCTTCCATACAAGAGAGTTTCTTTGAAGTGATCCTGAAACTTAGGTAAAAAGTACAACAAAAGCAACACTTGATCTTCATCATCAATCTTGACCTCGATATTTTCTAGATCAAGAATTAATTTGTTGAACATATCCAACTGCTCAGCCAAGTCTTTGTCTTTGCTCATCTTGAATGAATACAAAGCTTGCTTGAGGTAGAGATGATTAACCAACTATTTTTTCATGTACAAAACTTCAAGTTTCATCCATACACTAGCTGCAGTTTTCTCCTTTGAAACCCGTCGGAGAACCTTATCACCAAGGCTCAATACAATGGTATTGTGGGTTTTTTAACCATTGTTGTCTCCTCCTTCTCTGTTAGGGAAACATTCATATTCTATGATTCTTTCAACGCTTCTAACAAACTCTGTTGAACAAGAAGAACTTGCATCTTCAAGTGCCACAAACCAAAATCATTCACACCGGTGAATTTCTCAATCTCATACTTTGTCGACGACATCTTCTCCTCCATGCCCACCGTACCATTTTATTGTGATTGATGTCATCAATAACAGAACAAAGTTATGAGAAAAAGATTGAGTTTCTTGAACAAACATAAGAAACCCTATTAGGTTTTACAAAGGAAAAGAGAATATATATATATATATATATATTATATATATATATATATATATATATATATATATATATATATATATATATATTTCTAATTGTTAAGTTAACTTGTACTCTAAGTTAGTCTAGTAGTCTATAAATAGACTACTTCTCTAAGTTCTTAAGTTTGGTTGTATAAGGATGTAGAATGTAAAATGAATTAATAAATAAAATAAAGTATCTGAGAGACGAGAGAACTTGTCAGAATTGGATTTCATCCACCAATCAGATACATAAATCTACCAATCAATTGTAGACAACCTAAAACATTCACCAATATCAACACGTATCGCTCATCAACACCGTTATGTCTAGTCGATGTCGCGAGTTCTACCCTATTATTTAATCGATTATCTCTCACTCTATTAAATAATACAAAGCATTAACATTTGATACTCACGGTGAATGTTAGATTTGAATCTATGTCTAGCATTTAGAATCTAACAGATGTTCATCTATAAATCTGAAGAGTATTTCTCAATAACGATTTAAATCAAAATGTAAAACAAGTAAACAAAGATGACATCGAGATAAATTCATGAAATAGATCGTATGCAACACCACGATCAATAAAAACACATACTTTTACAGTAAACTTACATGCAATCCTTAAAAAGAAAATTATTACAAGGAGAAGAATGAAGATGAACAAG